CACTATTTCAAATCATGACTAATACAGCTTGTTGTGATTATGATTATTCAAACCTACAAAACAGTTGCCGGGTAACAGGTATAGGTCGGCCGGTTAGAAAAAGACCTGCGAGAAACTTTTAGCGCATGTAGGGGAGGTAATGGCGAGGGAGGGTATGTTCCCCCTCTCCGCCAATGGCCGTTTTCACACTGCACGACACGACAACGGCACGACAACGACACGGCGCTGCCCCAGTGTCGTGGGAGTTGGAATCCTGTGTTACCAAATGGAACTGCTTACACAATGATATAATGACATTTCATAATGCTCAAATATTGATGCGATTTAGGCTATACAATATTTTTTGCAGGACCTATTTTTCTCAAGTTATGAAGAACGTAACTGTTTACATTTTGATCAGCTGTATAATTTAATTTGATTAGCTGTGTTCGGGATGGTTGGGGTTGGGGCGGCAGCGGAGTGGGGGAAGAGCCATAGTCTGTCTCAGTCCCACAGCTCAGTATCTCTCTCTCTCGCACCAATGCTACGAGGACGCTTTCTAACCGGCCGACCTATAGTTATATTTATTTGTAAACATTGTAGTTCAAAAAGTCTGACATTGGCCCACTTAAAACCCTCTGGGGCGGAGCCCTTTTGACGGATCTGTACCAACTTCACACAAACCATCCTTGAATAATGCTTAATAATGCCTGAAAGTTTCTTAACAATCTGTTGAGCGGTTTCGGAGTCCATAGGTACATACATATATATATATATATATACATACATACATAGTTCCTCTTTTATAAATATAGATAATAGATAATTTTAGTCTTTTGTTATTGTCTCAAATATATTTTGTTATTGTTTTGTAATGACTCACTTTTGTTATGAAATATACTAATGCTATAAAAACATTGAAACAGTATTTGTAGTTGTGTATTTATGACTAGTGGCTTGTAGGGACATAAGTCCCTAAAAAGCTCAAATGTAAAACAACTTTTTGCAATACCGGTATTTAAACAATCTCAGAATAACATTATCTATGTGTCAGAATAGGCATCCCTACACCATATCTTTTGTGTAAAAACCAGTTTGTTGTTCTTCTTTGTTTGCTTTTGTTGATGTCATTTTCAATAAATAATTTGAATCACTCCAGTGGTTTAACATGAAAAGGCAGCAAACATATCATTGTTTGTGAATAAATACTGGTTTACAAAGGTGAAAGGTAGCTTTGGTCTTGTGGTTAATGAGGATAAATAAAAGCTTCCCTGTTTGGAATTTTAAAAATTCATTGGAGGTTCGCCTTCAGATGAATTGAAGACGCCTGCAATTTCATCTGCAGTAGGCTTATTATACCTACGACGATCCATCCTGTCTACAAACCTAAGTTCTAATTCACTGTCACCTTGTACAACCATTTCTTCCGAAGCTCTTTTGTAAATTTGTGCAAATGGATTTTCTAATAGAATTTCAGCTAGTTTTGACAATATTTCAGGTTTTAAGTCACTATTTTCTCGACGCCTTTGACGAATTTCTGTTGCTGTTGATGTGTCAATAATGTACAATTGGCCATACACGGGGTCTTCATCATGTTGAGGCAGCAAATCTGAGATTGAACGATAAATCTGTCCTTGAATTTTGAAACAGTATGGTCCTTTTCCTGGAATATCTTTCTTACTGGCTGAAAAATAAGCAAAAGCCATCTGCACTGTTGCATTGTCGAATGAATTTATACAGTTGTGGGCTCTCTTCAAACAAACTTTTAAAGTCTATTTAAACTCAGGAGTAGGCGGAACCAGTCGACCGTACTAATACCCTCACCCCTTGAGTCTATTGTGCGAGTTCGGGTAGGGGCACGCGTCGTCGGCCTTTGTCGGTGAGTCATTGCTGCTGGTCCCAGTGTCAATATGCAAACTTTTTTAATTGAAAGAAAAACTTAAAACAAAGTATATCACGTGCTGTGTTTTGATCGCCTGATTATTTTGATACCAAATATGAAGGAAATCGGTTAATTTTGGGGAAGGCAAAGTGAATTAAAGTGAGAAAGTGATGGATCTGATGACGAGTTGGCCGTCCCTTTGTAAATAAAAGTGTAACTACATCTGTAAGTAGATTTTTTAAATTGTTTTAAATAATGTATATTTGGGTTTTCCGTGTATTATTTTGTTATGCCTTTGCAACGTATATTTTGTGAGTTAGTTATATAATTGATATGGCTCATTTTTAATTATTGAACATATAATTAGAAGTATTTATTAAATTTTTAACGTTTTTAGAAAATTTAAAATTGATAATTGATAAATTATAATACACAGTGCACCAACCCCGTTAAATTTTCCAATTTTAGGCCTAAATAATCAGTCTTTAAAATTTTTGAAAAGAATACTTTGATGTCTATTTCTTTTTTTTTTGTAATAATAATATAATATAATATTAAGATGTATTTAATTTTAATAGAGTTTGTTGTCAATATCAAGTTAATGAACCAGTGTAAATAAATGCACACTGATAACAGTATAAATTTTATGTCTATATTTTAATAATGAATTTAATGAACAAAAAACTGCCTGTCCACTGTACTGTATGGTGATATTTATTGTGTAAAGTAGTAATTAAGAGGTTGTTATAAAACTCATCAATCATTTAATCAAAGTCATTCGATAAAAAATTTATTTTATGACCATTAAACATTATTTGAAAACCATGTATACGATTTAATTATTTACTTTGCCTTCCCCAAAATTAACCGATTTCCTTCATATTTGGTATCAAAATTATCAGGCGATCAAAACACAGCACGTGATATACTTTGTTTTAAGTTTTTTCTTTCAATTAAAAAAGTTTGCATATTGACACTGGGACCAGCAGCAATGACTCACCGACAAAGGCCGACGACGCGTGCCCCTACCCGAACTCGCACAATAGACTCAAGGGGTGAGGGTATTAGTACGGTCGACTGGTTCCGCCTACTCCTGAGTTTAAATAGACTTTAAGTTCTACATTAGTTTTTGACTGAGGAAGGTTAATAAGTCCGTTATGGCAACATGTCATAAAATGATTATTCGTTAGTTCTTCTCTAAAATGAAGAGCACTACATTGAATGCACTCTTGGTCCAGTAATCCTGCATCATGAATATTTACATTTCTCTCGTCTACCATGGGTCTCCTAAAAAGGGGTTGTAACATATTTTGATTAAGTTCGTCATTATCTACTCTTGCTCTCCTATGCGCACTGTCATTCCTATGAACAGTTCCCCGCCTTTGTGATATTCCCCTGGCGTTCATATTAATTACAGTACTTATAATGAAAAGAATATATATCCAGCAGCCTACATACCAAAACATCTTGAATCCCTGGTGATTCTATAAAAGTATGATCGAATATGACTACTCTACGTTGTATATTCACTGCACTAAAAAAATTTACTTACGAAGGAATGCAAATACACCATTTTAGAACCAATAACATTTATAGGTTATTTTAGTTGTATATATTCACACAACCTTAACCTTAAAATGTGTAGAAATATAAAGAAAACAACATCATTTAAAATAAACTTGAACATATGATTTAAAAATAAAAGCAAAACAGAAGTTAGATTTAATTAAGACTCTTTGATTATTTATACAGAATATTTATTCTATGTCGTTTATTCCTTTAACACGACAATAACGTAAAAGCATGAAAAAATGAAACTTGAGTATATGATTTAAATATAAACAAAGAATGCAGACGTTTTTCCGACTAATCTTCAATATTTCAGTTTTATTATAGTATACATTTCATAGTTGACTGGCTAAAAGTAAACCAAATGCGTGTATTGATCACTGTTTTCAAATCTGTGGCACAGCTGTTTTAATTTCAAATTAAACCCCATGTTGTTTTAATGGGAAAAGTTTTATTCTGTTGCGAATTTATGGTAAAAAAATAAGAAAAATTAATAGTTTTCCCTCAAAATTCACGTAAAGACCTTTAAAATAAGACCCCTCCCATCCTTTTACGGCCATCCAGTCACTCACAATTTCTTTACAAAAATTTGACTTACGGAATTATATATATAGATGTGGTTTTGTTAAGTAATCATAAGTCTTAAGTTAAGGTTAAATTTATAAGTCTTAATTATAGTTAAATTTCAAAGCCTTCTCTCGTACCTTACTTTTTCTAGTGAATTATAATCTTTAGTACTTTTTGGAACTACTTTATTACACTTGTTTATTTATTAATTTTTTTTTTGTTGCCAAAATCATGTTAAAAAAACTGTGGTCCATTGTGTTTATATTGATGCTCAGGCAGTTCATCGAGTTCACATGACAGTTTTTCAGTCAAACTGACGTCTTCTAAAACTCATTATGTCATTAATTACCTGAAAATTAACCTAAATATTTAGCTTAAATTTAGGAGAGCATCGTATTTCGACATCAATCACTAGTCTCAAATCTTCACCACAAGAAAAGTCGTTACAGCAGCACCTTTTCTGCCTATCCAGTCATGTTAAACCAATGTGCTGATTAAAATTGTCTGGTTAAAGAGTTGAGACTTCTGCCGAGAGTAACTAGTCCAGTTAATCCAATGTCTGGTTAAAAGGGGTTTAGCTCAGAGGGAGTCTACTGTATACATAGGAGAAGACACTATGTCACTAAGGTATCTAAGGAAGCTAAAATTAACAATAACAAATTAAAGTAGATGAGTTTGTTGCTCGGTTGTTAGTGCAACGGATTAGGAAGTCATGATAGTCGAGGGTTGAGATGATAGTGCCTCTTAATTTTATCAGTACAGTTTACCGTTGTATTCTCTCTCATTCTTTTGCTATTTACTAGAGGCTATCAACCTCTTAATAAAATCCACTTTTCTTAACATGAGACTTGGGAAAAAGAAAGCAACTATTTTCAACTATTTTGTATTAACATCTTAATTAAAAATTAAAACAATTAACAATAACTCTAAAATAATCTTTAATATTACGTTTCTTATAGCATTAAAACTAGAATCTCAGTCTATCGAATAAAATTTACAAAAATAAATATAACGACAACGACAAAAGTTTATTTCAGGAATGAAAAATACAGAATAATAATTTTGAAAATAATCAAATTCAAGTAATGTTAATAATTTACAAGAAATTAGTTTTTACATGGTCTTAGGTGGATGGTGTTCATGAGTAGATCATCCCTGATGCTGAGGCGTGAGCCAACAACAGATGAGCTGCCTGTTGTGTCTCTAGCAGCACTGTGGTTTCCTTCATCCAATCTGATGACACAGCCTTGGCTCCACCTTTCAGTAGATTCATGTACTTCAGAGCTTGGTCGAAATCTCCTCGATCTACGTAATACCTATAAACAATTATTAGGTACTAATTAAATACCAAGCAGAAACAGACCAACTCAAATATTGAGTGGCTCAAAAAGAAATAATAGCCCATGACATCCAATAGGGTTACCTCTAACCAAGAATGTGGAACAATATTTGCTTTGCCCAATATTCGGTGTAACTGACAATGTTACATAAAAACTCAAGATTTTTATGTAAAGTAGACACTTGATAATCCAGCAAAGCAAATTGGACGCAGTGCTTGCCTACATTAATTAACACCCTCTAAAAATTTGCTGTTGCCCTGAGGGTATCAAAACACCAGTAATAACAGAAAAATTAAAAAACTATTTTATAATAGGCAACAGGCCAACTTCAGTTTTCAATTGTGATTTACTGTATCTGATTGCATGGGGATGGAAAATGTTTTAAAAATATAAAACAAAATGTAGTGTTTTATTATCTTATGATACAGATACAGTACAGAAATATTTACTGTAAATCATCAGGGTACTCTTAAACCTGTTGTTTGCACCCAGAAGGCTTACTCAATGTAAAAAACTTCTTGGACTGATGCCGGGTTAAAATTCATCATAAAGGTTGTTGACAAGCTTATGGGAGAAAGTATGTGTCAGATTGCTGATACAGTTTATTTCAAGTAAAATTGGATGAGTAGGTACAAAATCAATACAAGTTGTCTGCAACCTACAAAAGGATCTTTTCCACCTATAGGCTATTTAAGGGGAGTCGCTACTGAAAAATTACCAATTTTGTAAAAAACATGACTTTTTTTATCTTGTTCTATGGATTGTTAGGTTTCAGAAAAACATAACATTTGGTATAATATATATTTTTATCACTGTGAAAAAAATATTTGAAGTGACGCGTGCACACCTCTTTTGAGGGCATCAACTAGGCCTAGTATAAACTTCAACCACTGTTTTCCGCGACTTTAAAATTTTTTTTTTTTTTTATATATAAGTTCTTATAACTTGTTAACTATTACAGCTATATGAATGAAATTTTTACCACACATTGTGTAGGTATACTATAAATCAACTTTCTGTGCATGGATATTGTAATTGGCTAAATAAAAGTACATGAAAAATACCCTCGCCGCAGCAAACCTGCAGACTTAGCGAATTTCCATTTGCCTGATTGGATTTACACTAAAATGTCTCCTTAAAAATATCACATTTATTCCCTATTTAAACAGAATCAGTTAAATGAGTACTTAGGTTTGCTGCAACAGGGAGGGTAAAAACGTTTTGTTTTTTTTATGTTAATGTTAAAAGGTACTGTAGTTTAGTAAGAAATTAATGTATTTTCCAAATTTGATCAAAATATGTTCATAAACAAGCAAACTACAACAGTTGACTTATTCTCCATAAGAATAACATGGGAATTTAAAATTAACATTTTTTTGAATTTTCTCCGTAACAATTAGGCGCATCATAACGCTTCAATATACTAAATTATTTGTTTTTTTCAGCTCTACAAAATGGTTTAGAAAGAAATTGTGAAATTTTGCGTTTTTAGGGTCAAAAATGGGAAAAACCTATTTTTACCCCATAAACCCCCGTTAACATGGTCCGATCATGCTGGTTTGCGAACTCATTCAAGTTTATCCCGCCTTACACCTTCAAACCAAATTTTATCAAAATCGGACAACAATTACTCAAGTTATCGTGCGGATGGACACATATCTAATATATAAAATTCTCGTGTCACAGTGTTTGTCTGCAAACTCCTCCGGAACGACTTCACCGATCGTTATGAAATTTGGTGTGTAAATTCTGTAGGTATGCGAATCGGACGTAAACTATTTCCCGTTTCGAAATTCTTAAAAGGGCTCCGCCCCAGTGGCTCTGGAGTTTCCCATGTTAACCTTATGAGAAATGGAATTAATGAATCTTAACAGCTGTTTCAATTAAACAAGTTGGTTCTGTTCTATGATGTTCAATAGCATTAAAGTTACAAGGATTACCAACAGGGTGCAGCACTATTATTTCTTTTACATTTATGACAACAGCTAATTTGCAACCAAAAGGTGAGTGAGCGTAGCGAACGAACTTCAACCTGGAGGCGAGTTAGCGTAGCGAACGAGCTAACCTGAAGGCAAGTGAGCGCAGCGAACGAGCTCCAACCTAAAGGTGAGTGAGCGTAGCGAACGAGCTCCAACCCAAAGGTGAGTGAGCGTAGCGAACGAACTTCAACCAGGACGTGATTGAGCGATGCGAACGAGATCATCTTGAAAATTAAACGTAACGGTACTTTCTTTCCATCGGTCTGTCTTAGGGGAAACCTATAACTTAGGCGATACGAAGTTCGCCGGGTCAGCTAGTATATATATAAAAATTTGAACGAATGGTGTTTTTGGCCTCTTGGGACATCAAAATGAAAAAGTAAATCGGTCCCGGGCCTAGGTCTTACCATGAGACCTACAGTAATAGCTACTTCCCTATAGGGAAATTCGCTAAACATGTATACAAATTTATTACCTATAAATTTTTCTAAAACTTATTTTTGAAGCCATAACTTATAAACTAGTTGAGAAAATAACATGAGTATGCACAGAAAGTTTGTGCTTTCTTTGCTCTTTAAAATGAGATATCAAACAATAAAATTGGTTTAGTAGTTAAATAGTTATAGGAAATTTTAAAACCCCCATTTTTTCCCCGCCAAAAAACTTTAAAAACTCCAAAAAGTATGTAAACATTTTTTTTTTTCTTACTTTAACAGCAGTAAATATTTTTCTAAGACTAAATGTACTTAAAAAAGTATATATGATAATCTTTTAAGGGATTTTGTTAAAAATCGCTAGTTTCAGTAGCGACTCCCACCAGTAGGCTACTTAAAAAATATTATTATTTTCTAATAATTTAGACCAATGATCGTCTCTGGCAATCGACGCAACATTCATGAGCATATCACTTGGTCTCTTTTTTTGAAGAGGTATGGCACCCTCTTGCATTGTCCCGTCCACATAGGCTAAGGAACTGTGCGTAAAGCGTATCCAGCAAAGCAAGGGGTGAGCCGGCACAGTACAAGGGTGATCTGTACTGTACTGATAAAAAGTAGCGGCAGTGACCAGGGTCCGAACCCACAACATCAGTGCCTGTGACGCTACCGACTGAGCCACCAACTCACCGATTGTACCATGATTGTTTCCGACAAACGCAGCAACACTTGTAAGCAAATCTAGCAGTCTCTGTGATATTGTGATTGTCTCTCACCGACCCGATTTCATACATTAAAAGAGAGCAAATGTAATGCTATCAATTACATGGTGTAAACTAATTTTTGAAAGTGAAATTTCAGGGTTTTCCTGGAATTTTTAAGTTTTTCCATGATCTCACAGGAATGTCTAGCTATAAACTATAACCAGTTCAAGGCCTACAGCTTAAGTTTACAATGTGGCCCTTAACCCTTCAAGTCGTTTTGACGTACGTGATACGTCTGTACTGCTCCGCCCGCTGCTGCGTTTTGACGTATTGCGTACGTTCTCAGACGTTCCGTCCGATGCTGCTACCTATCGGGGAAATCCGCAAACATCTGGACGCGATCGATATTGCAGTACGTTGAGGGATAGTAGGGCTACATGAAACTACAGAAATACCCGGTTTTAGAAACTTTTCGTTGCCTTTGGTGACGAATGTTTACAGGCGTTTGAGCAGAAGAATTTCACTCGTGTCGTCTTGGTTACGTCGTTGTTTGTTTGTTTACGTATTTAGATGTTTTCTGATATTATTGAGTAAATTCCGATTAAGATATTATTTTTAAATGTTTTATTATAGTTTCTAGTAGTTTTGTGGAGCAGAAAAGTTTTTATTTCAGTGGATAGTGATTGAATTGTAGTGTAAGTTCTCTGTTATGGTATGGCTCGTAGTAGTGAAATAGATCGTTGGCTGCTGTCGGAATTTGTTGACGATGTACAGAGTGATGAAGATGATATAGATTTTGCACAGTTACAAGGTGATAATCCCGAAGATGAAAATCCAGAAAGTGACAATGATTTAGCGATAGTTACACCTAATGTTCCTGTTAGTGAGTTTGGTGGTGGTGAGCCTAGGCCTAGCCCTACTCCTTCACCAACGCCTCTTTCACCTAGGCCTATGTCACCCCCCCAACCAATGGAATTGGACAATGTTGAAATGACAATTGAGGATGTAGTGGCTGGTGCGGGAGGTGACAATCCTCTCTCTGCTAGACGTAGGCCTACTGAAAATGTACCACAAATGATTTGGGAATCCGTTGAGAATTATGTACCTCAAAAGGAAAATTTTATTGGTATGGGTGAGGTAGGTCCCAAAATAAATTATGAAAATGAGTTAGATATTTTTAAATATTTCTTTGATGACACAATCATGGACCTTATTGTCCATAGTACAAATACCTATGCGGAGCAGCAGCAAAGGAAGCAGGGAATGATATTCCATCAGTTTTCTCGTACATGGAAGAGGGTCCCTGTTACCAAAAATGAACTGTATGTTTATTTTGGCCTAGTGATGCTTATGGGTGATACCAAAGGCCTAGTCTTAGAGCCTACTACTCAAAAAATGGTTTGTTACGTACTGATGTGTATCCAAGTACAATGCCGTTGGAGCGGTTTCAGCTCATTTCCAAGTGCTTGCATTTTTGCGATGAGACAAAACTCAGTGAGTACAATGGACAGAAAGGTTTGTTTAAAATTTTTTCTATCATTGATCATTTAAATAATAAGTTTCAGGCAGCATATGGCCTTTCCCAGAATATTTCAATTGATGAATCGTTAACTTTGTGGAAAGGTCGCTTGGGGTTCAAACAGTATTTGCCGCTGAAGGCAGCTCAGTTTGGGATTAAGTCTTTTGAGATTTGTGAGTCTTCTTCGGGGTATACCTGGTCATTTCTTATATACACAGGTAAAAGCATGGTTTTTGACAATCCTATTGTCCCACCAAAGTCAAACAAATCTACTGCAATTGTTTTATCTCTCATGGCGCCTCTTCTCGATAAGGGTTTTACGCTCTGGATGGACAATTGGTACAATTCACCGGAACTTTCAAAGTTATTGAAAGAAAGGAAAACTGACACTTGTGGCACCATGAAACTGACCAGGAAGTGTGTACCTGATGAAGTAAAAAGTCAAAAGTTGGATAAGGGTGAAATAGTTGTATTGCATAGCGAAGATGTCATGATCATGAAATGGCGCGATAAACGAGTCGTCTCTCTTATTTCAACCTTCCATTCCCATGAAATGGGAGTGAAAACTAGCAAGAGTGGTAAGCAAGAAATTAAGCCAGTTTTGGTACTTGACTATAATAAACAAATGGGAGGGGTTGACTTGAGGGATCAAATGCTACACAGTTATCAGCTTGAAAGAAAGAGGGGGCAGAAATGGTATATACAAATTTTCAAAAGACTGCTAAATGTTACTGTTTTGAATTCCTATCTTATTTGGAAATGTACCAACCAAAAAAGTGAGCATTTTGCCTTCAGATTAGAACTGGTAAAAATGTTATTTGAAACTTATGGATCCCAAGTGCAGAGAAATGTAAGTGGTAGACCATCAATCAAACCCAAACCAGCTCGGCTAACCGAAAGACATTTCCTGTACCTCATTCCACCTACTGCAAACAAAGTGAATGCTCAAAGAAGATGTTGTGTGTGTTCCAAGAGAGGAATTAGAAGGGACACTAGGTACTGGTGCCCAAAATGTGAAGCTGGACTATGTTTGGGAGAATGTTTCGAAGATTACCACGCCAAACTCAACTTTTAAGGTATGAAAAACTTTTAGAACTGTCCTAGACTTTTAATGTAGGGCCTATTATATATTTTTTTAAAGCCAGTAATTTGCTGTTTAATTTGGTAAAAGAATTGTTAAAATATAATTATAAATAACAAAGTTATATGCGTTTATTGTTTATTGTGTTCCGTGCCTGCTGGAAAGCCTAAAAAACCCACGCAGCAGGGTTGGTTTTTATTAAAAAAACTCGCGCGTTGAAGGGTTAAGTAAAAAAAAAAAAAATTAGAGATCCCTGTTCTATAACATGCAAAATTACTGTGTTTTTAAAGCAATAAATATGTACATAGGAAATATTGAAATATTTTTTTTAGCTTAAGTTGATAAAAACTTGTTACTTTACTTTCAGAGAACATAATAAGTACACTAAATACTGTAATTTCTAATTACAAAAAAATCTAAAATTTTATGGGAAATGGGAGCGTTAAATAAGAGATGTTCAATCATTGGAGGTTAACATGAAAGCGGCTATAATAAGGTTCAAGTGGTCTTGGACAAGTACTCATTGAGTTCACTATTGTAATCCTTTATCTTTATATAAATAACTATAAATAACAAATACACCTAACTACATTTTTATGCTTTTATAAAAAAATTTACTATCCAAAAAATTAAAATGACAAATATTTTTTCAGATATTGATTTAACATAACTAGCTGTTACCCACGGGCTTCAACCCGTTTAACTTCCTAAGTATTAATGAAATTATTGATTGGTTAAGTTAAGCTGAAATAAACAAAACAGAATACAGTAATACAAACAGATAATAATTAGTAGAGCTGAGGTATTTTTAACATTAGGTATATGGAAAGTTCCCTTTAGAAAGGATTTATGACCTTAAAGTTTATGAAATAATGGATAGTTTTACAAAAGGTTTCTCGTCATGACGAACATTTTATGTATATGGTTTATGGGGGTGTAACTTGTAGTTTTCTCAAAAGTTCATGGGTACTTTTGGCTTTATATGTAGACTAGCTGTACCCGCTTTGCCCCGTTTATCTTTATAAGTGAGCTCGTTCGCATAGCTCAATCACGTCCTGGTTGAAGTTCGTTCGCTACGCTCACTCACCTTTTGGTTGCAAATTAGCTGTTGTCATTAATGTAAAACAAATAATAGTGCTGCACCCTGTTGGTAATCCTTGTAACTTCAATGCTATTGAACATCATAGAACAGAACCAACTTGTTTAATTGAAACAGCTGTTAAGATTCATTAATTCCATTTAAACATGAGTACACACAAGGTTAACATGGGAAACTCCAGAGCCACTGGTGCGGAGCCCGAGAGTCCGATCAGAATAAAAACAGCTTAGTTTTCCTATTTAATGCCTAAAGAATCAGTGTACCAAATTTCAGCCTCCTAGGTAAATGGGAAGTAAGAGAATTAGTGATGAGTGAGTGAGTGAGTCAGTCAGTCAGTGAGGGCTTTGCCTTTTATATATATAGATTGCTTACCGAGCTCGTTGCAAGATGTCGTAGTTGTTGAGTGACGATGGATCAAAGGGTTCATTGTTGAGTTCGCTGGAAGGGATGGGTTCTGAAGCTCTGATGACCAGCATGCTCTGCAGCCAAGCCACCAACAACTTGGGTAGAGAGGCACCTCCCTCGGGCACACCTGCTACTCTCCAGGCACACTGCTCCACCTGTAACACAAAAGCATGCTCTGTAGCCAAGCAGCCAACAGCTTGGGAAGAGAGGCTTCCCTCCGGCACACCTGCTACTCTCCAGGCACACTGCTCCACCTGTAATACAAAAGCATGCTCTGTAGCCAAGCAGCCAACAGCTTGGGAAGAGAGGCTTCCCTCCGGCACACCTGCTACTCTCCAGGCACACTGCTCCACCTGTAACACAAAAGCATGCTCTGTAGCCAAGCAGCCAACAACTTGTGTTGAGTGGTGACTCCCTCCAGCACACCTGCTACTCTACAGGCACACTGCTCCACCTGTAACACAAAAGCATGCTCTGTAGCCAAGCAGCCAACAGCTTGGGAAGAGAGGCTTCCCTCCGGCACACCTGCTACTCTCCAGGCACACTGCTCCACCTGTAACACAAAAGCATGCTCTGTAGCCAAGCAGCCAACAGCTTGGGAAGAGAGGCTTCCCTCCGGCACACCTGCTACTCTCCAGGCACACTGCTCCACCTTTAACACAAAAGCATGCTCTGTAGCCAAGCAGCCAACAGCTTGGGAAGAGAGGCTTCCCTCCGGCACACCTGCTACTCTCCAGGCACACTGCTCCACCTGTAACACAAAAGCATGCTCTGTAGCCAAGCAGCCAACAGCTTGGGAAGAGAGGCTTCCCTCCGGCACACCTGCTACTCTCCAGGCACACTGCTCCACCTGTAACACAAAAGCATGCTCTGTAGCCAAGCAGCCAACAGCTTGGGAAGAGAGGCTTCCCTCCGGCACACCTGCTACTCTCCAGGCACACTGCTCCACCTGTAACACAAAAGCATGCTCTGTAGCCAAGCAGCCAACAGCTTGGGAAGAGAGGCTTCCCTCCGGCACACCTGCTACTCTCCAGGCACACTGCTCCACCTGTAACACAAAAGCATGCTCTGTAGCCAAGCAGCCAACAGCTTGGGAAGAGAGGCTTCCCTCCGGCACACCTGCTACTCTCCAGGCACACTGCTCCACCTGTAACACAAAAGCATGCTCTGTAGCCAAGCAGCCAACAGCTTGGGAAGAGAGGCTTCCCTCCGGCACACCTGCTACTCTCCAGGCACACTGCTCCACCTGTAACACAAAAGCATGCTCTGTAGCCAAGCAGCCAACAGCTTGGGAAGAGAGGCTTCCCTCCGGCACACCTGCTACTCTCCAGGCACACTGCTCCACCTGTAACACAAAAGCATGCTCTGTAGCCAAGCAGCCAACAGCTTGGGAAGAGAGGCTTCCCTCCGGCACACCTGCTACTCTCCAGGCACACTGCTCCATCTGTAACACAATGGCATGCTCTGGAACCAAGCAGCCAACAACTTGTGTAGAGAGGCACCTCTCTCTCTCTACTACTCATCTTGGTAACTAACTTTTAATTGTGTTTATTAATAACTTAACATTGTCACATTAAAAAAAATTAATTCAAAGAAATTAATTCACCGTCGTTTGTGTCTTGTAAATATTTTATTTGATCTTAAAGACTAGATCTTCTTTTTATTTACAAGTGTCATTGTGTTCAAATACGTATGTTATTCATTGCGATTCATGTCAAATACAACATTCAGTTATGATTAATGCAATAACTGAAAATGGTTTGAACATGTTAATTACCATTATTTAATAGTCTATTGTATTTCAATACACTTTCCTATTCAATAGTTTATTAGATTTTACGTATCTGGAAAGCCTCAATCCTACTTTATCCCGGTCAATCGGGAGTTGAGTATCACAGGTAGTGGTTGCTACCACAGAAAACCAAGAAGTTTTGAGATGACAAATAACCAAACAAACATTCCCCTTTCCCAACCAATGGTACTTGCAGCGTTTTAACTGGCTGCCACTGCCCTTCCACGGGCCCACCGCATACCAAAGCAACTGGACTTCCCCTTTCCCCACCCCCTGCGTTGTTTGTAACGAGGGCGCTGACCCCTCACGCCGCAAACAACCCTTACTGAACACGTAAAAAAAGTCGTATTAGTATTTGAGATACTTCCTCCTGGCCAAAAATCAAACGATTTAAAACTCCAAAACTAACAAATATAGCTAGAATCTAACTGAGTGGAAGTTATTTCCAGTAGCCTAATTTTTAAAAGCTAACAAATATAATACAAGTTAGCCAAAAAAACTAACGAATATCACTATTCGTTAGAATTTCTATTCGTTATTCCCAAGTATGTCCACCAGTAACACAATGGTATGCTCTGTAGCCAACAACTTGTGTTAAGGGGCAACTACCTCCAGCACACTTGCCACTCTCCAGGCACACTGCTCCACCTGTAATACAATGGCATGCTCTGTAGCCAAGCATCCTACAACTTGGGTAGAGAGGCACCACACCTGCTACTCTCCAGGCACACTGTTCCACAATGGTGTAGCCAAGCAGCCAACAACTTGGGTTGAGCTACTTAAATCAGTAGGTATTTGAAAATGTTACAAAATCAGGTAAAAATGTCAAACGTGAATTTCCTGTTATGTATGAGAAGGGAAATCCTTTCTTGTCTTGTCTCGAACTAAAAATCCAATCTTGTACATCCTTAGAATATATGAGTTTAAGAATTATTACTCCAATTGTACATCTTAAATAGCTTAATTGGCTATAACTATTGTTTCCCTACCTTTAAGAAGCGCTCCCTAAGAGAATCCTCAGAATAGACTCCTCTCTTTACAGCTACGGAGGGGATTGTTGCCAACACCGTCTCTACCAAGTCATCTCCCTTGGCTAGAACATTGCATTAACAGGTTCAGTAACAGCTGTCTGTACTTATATATTTTGTATATTTTTTTTTTTTTTTTTTTTTGTAGAGGGGTTTTGCAGAAATTTTTCTGTTTATGAAGGATATGTTCACAAAAATCCTTAAAATCAAACTTAGAACCAAAAATTCTTGCAAAATAAAGCATTTGAAATTAATGACCGAAAATATATATATATAGTTCTCACAAAAAATTCAAAATACAGTAGAACTCCTCATATCCGACCTCGGCATAACCGACTCCTTGGGATATCCGACTTAAAGTGGCCAATCATGGGTGTTAAGATATCCACATCGGTGTTGCCGTGATCGCGGAAGACGATTACAGATGTTGCTATGACTGCAAGATATCCTCATGGGTGTTGCCGCAATTATGGGAGGCAATTACAGATAGATTGACAGATTGCTGTGACCGCAAATTATACTACTCTCGATATCCGGCCTTTTGGACGTTCCGACCATTGCACGGTCTTGTCACGGTCGGATACGAGGGGTTCTACTTTTCCACAAATTCAACAAATAAAAAAATAATATTGTATACAACCAGAATATCCACAAGAATAAGGACATATTCACAGCACAGCTAAATTATATTTTCTTCTATACTTTTTTATGAGCACAAGACAGAAAAAAACATCAACTCAAACACACTACTCTAAATGGTGAAAATTTACTGAAATGACAAGAAAAGTATAAAAAAATACTAGTGGTATGTGGTACACAAAATTTAAGGTCGCTAAGGTTCAGTGCCATACAATATTTAGTACATCCGTTCTTAAGCTATTTTAAAAAGGTTAATTATCTCAAATGTAGACTCTATTCCTGAGTAAGGACCCATACTTTTTTAAGCTAGGTTTACTAGCATGTATAAGTGGTGCCACTAAATCACGCCAGTTTTAGTGTCATGCCACTAGAGGTTTACATACAAAAGTGAGTGTTCTAGTCTTGCCAGTGTTAATTGATTTTGATGGAGAAACTTGATTTGATGCACAGAAATAATTTTGTAGTTGTTGTTTGATTATATTTAAAACGTCGTTTTATATTATATGGTAAATGTATAACATTATATGTTATGTATTAATATATCTATATATATAATACGTGAAGCCATTTTTTGTTAACGCAACTCCTCCCTTATTTATGGACCGATTTAAACTTTTAAGGTGTCAAAAGATTCGTCTTAATATGTAGTTTTGCTTATTAGTTTTGTTGGTTTTAGATTTTTTAAACTCCTACTCTTAAGGGCGTGAGACCCTCTCAAAGGTCAGGTTTTTTCCATAAGAAATACATAGAACAAACTTAAAAACAAAAAACAGCTGTTTATAAAAAGAAACTCATTAGCTTTTTGGGAGTAAATATTAATGTTTGTAATATTGAGTAGGTTAAGACAAGTTAAACAGTTAATCAGTTTTGTTGGAGGGACAGAAAATGCCTCAAGTTCAAAGAAGAAATATTGAAAACGGGAGGAGGAAACAAAAAATAATAAGATATCTTATGTGAATGAGGAGAGTAGAAAAAGAGAGGTCTGCTCTAAAAGATACCCATCCAGATACACATTCACTTGGTGGAATGAATAATATTTGCCAGTTCTGCTATGCAACTTACTTTGGAAATGAAAAAATATACGAAGCACATTCATAGTGTTGTCAAGATGGTAAAGTAAACTTGCCAATGTCAGATAAAATAAATGCATGCGAGAAATGTTAACTTCTGACACTGACAGATCTCAAAACATTTAGTACTGTACAAACAATAATAATGCCTTGACTATGATAAGTTCAAGTAGTAAGATTATACCAAATCTTGGCGGACCTTATGTTACGTAAATGGATTGTTTACTTCTAGGTTTATGTTGCCAGTTCCTCAGACAAACTTATACAAAGTTTTTTGACTGAATTCACCAACACAATCCAGACATTTCAAGTCAAAAATAAGAAGTTTCAAAAAGTAATTTGCTATTGAAAGTATTAGTGGCAATATTAGAACAAGCATGAGTGAAGTAATTAGTGTTTATGTATTCAACGATAGATTATTTACGGTCAAGTTTATTTTTATGATTCAGGAGAGGAAAATAACATACGCTGTTCAAAAAGAGACAATGGAAATTGTTATCCAAATCTTATAGCTACAAGAGTTAGTTATCCAACCCATTTTGACAAATGAATCCATACTTTCAAAACTTTGGGACAGGTATTAAGAAAAACTCCACTGAACAACACGAGAACTGAGAACGATCTGATGCGGGGCATATAATGTGACTGACAGACATCACGTTAAAATACCAACTTTCAATAGTGTTGCTGCTTTAACCTATTCAAAGCAGATTATGGCTGTCCAGTTGGTAACCCAGAGTTTGTAAGTAAAAAATGGAGCAAATTAAATTGTCGATATATCGCCCCACTTTTCAGGATTCTCTACGGAGAAAATTTGTTCGATTAAGGGGATGTCGCAAAGCAAATAAATAAAATGACCCAACTTAAATTATTTAACACAGTTTATCAATAAGGCAACCAACAGTTTTTTCAATTGTCAATGCTGGAAAAACTTTGTTGCAACATGTTAACTCGAATTGAAGCAGACCGTTTAGCATTCATTAGAAGTTATCTGTTAAAACCGAGAGCAGAAATAATGTAGGTGAACCTTGACAAGGCAAATAGAGATATTTAAAATTAGTTTCTAACAAGTGTTTAAACAACTCTAATGAAACATACATAGCATCAGACTATAGGAAACGTAATATAAAATTGGACAAAAACTTAAATTACTTGGGTTGAAGTTTCTTCTAGGGTACAAAGTTTGAAAATCTAAACTATGCACAGCTAAGACAATATATTCAAGGCACGGACAGCGAGGGACAGTCACCGTAAGTTTGTATGTAACCAGAATTACTCGAATTTAAGCATAACGTTTTCCACGGCGTTATGTTTCATACTATGCGGCTCGTTGAGCCGCACGGGTTCTCTAGTAAAATTTGCATTATATGGTCTGTTTCTGCCATGACACCGTAACAAACACTTCACTTCTATGAATTTAATTTGTTATATAAACTTTTAGAATGATATATACTCTTATCATTACTGAAAACCACGTTTATAACAGAGATCCGGCTAGTGAATACAAGTGACACGGGAGCTAGATATCCGTCACTAGCACTGGCGCTGTGGTTTACACGGGCCACAGGAACTGACGCGGCAGTACAGATGGCAGATCACCACTACTGACGCCACTAATATATGTTTCAACATATATTAGTGGTGTCACTCCTGATGGAGCGCCACTGCACCACTCCACTAATAATGGCGCGTCATTTAGGGTTTAAACGGTACATTTTTGGCGCCACTTTCAAGCCAGAAAAAGTGGCGCCACTGCTACATGCTAGTGTAAACCTAGCATATCAACGGAGCACTTACTACACAAAATTAAATTAAATTAACTCTATGTTGTGTACTTCAATAAGTGGGATTTGAGAAGGATTCAGTGCAAATGCTTCGCACAGGTCAGCTAGTAAAATGGATTTTAGACACTAGCACATTCTGTGACTGGCTCACACAACTACGTTCTTTTTAATACAACTGGTCCAATTTGTAATACAACTAGATGGGATGTGTACTTCAGTATCTAATAATAAATGGTTATATCCAGCTGCTGAGGCATGAATTATGTTTTGGAGATATTAAGAGATCTAGCACATTTTGATTAAACATGATTTTCATTATCTGTGGTCTCCCTTCTCCCCAACTAATCACGATAATCAAAGGTCTACTGTAGCTCCTTATAATAATTTGGCTAAACCGAAAAATCCTGCTAATCTGAAGAGTGTTTGTTTTCAATAAGTTTGGATAAGCCAAACTGAATTAGGCCTATAGTTTTTAAGAATATTTTTAAAAAATAAGTTTTTTCTGTGCTAACCTGAAGCATTGACAATAGCCTGGATGTTATCCTTGAGAGGTGTAACATCTCCTGCTCCATGTTTGAGACTGTCATACAAAGCCTCTGCAGCACTCCACAATGCTTGAGACGTCTGGGCCTTTTGATCCTGCAGTGCCCTCTCTGAACAACAAAAAAAAACACTGTTATCCTCCTCCATGTTTGAGACTGTCATACAAAGCCTCTGCAGCACTCCACAATGCTTGAGACGTCTGGGCCTTTTGATCCTGCAGTGCCCTCTCTGAACAACAAAAAAAAACACTGTTATCCTGCTCCATGTTTGAGACTGTCATACAAAGCCTCTGCAGCACTCCACAATGCTTGAGACATCTGGGCCTTTTGATCCTGCAGTGCCCTCTCTGAACAACAAAAAAAAACACTGTTATCCTCCTCCATGTTTGAGACTGTCATACAAAGCCTCTGCAGCACTCCACAATGCTTGAGACGTCTGGGCCTTTTGATCCTGCAGTGCCCTCTCTGAACAACAAAAAAAAACACTGTTATCCTCCTCCATGTTTGAGACTGTCATACAAAGCCTCTGCAGCACTCCACAATGCTTGAGACGTCTGGGCCTTTTGATCCTGCAGTGCCCTCTCTGAACAACAAAAAAAAACACTGTTATCCTGCTCCATGTTTGAGACTGTCATACAAAGCCTCTGCAGCACTCCACAATGCTTGAGACGTCTGGGCCTTTTGATCCTGCAGTGCCCTCTCTGAACAACAACAAAAAAACACTGTTATCCTGCTCCATGTTTGAGACTGTCATACAAAGCCTCTGCAGCACTCCACAATGCTTGAGACGTCTGGGCCTTTTGATCCTGCAGTGCCCTCTCTGAACAACAACAAAAAAAACACTGTTATCCTCCTCCATGTTTGAGACTGTCATATTATTATGTTATTTGATGTTATTGTCAAACATAATGTTTTTGATAAGTTGATAAAAATGACGTTTTGTTTTAAAGTAATAATTGAAATAACTTAAACAATTCACTCACTTCATTTCAGTTCTTTATTTACATTGTAATTCTTGTGCTATTTGTTTTTGTTCTTTTAACATATGTTTCTAATTTAATATTTGTGTTTGTACAGTATATTATGAAAGTTGAATGTTGATTATATATTGATTTGGCCTTAACATACCGCTCGCCAAAAGAAACATTTTCTTTTCAATAAGGAACAATTAAGATAAGTTAAACTAGTGTACCTGTTGCTCGAATTCGAGCAATGGCTAAGTATTGCAGGTGTTATTTTAAAACAAATAAAAGTCATAATTTCTGATGACTTTAAAAGATTCGACTCAAAGATTATGGAAATACAGTACTCAAGATGTACATAACAGATCGATATAAACAACATTTCTTGTAAATAGTGTTTTCTACAAATAGCCTTACTCATAGCCGCATTAGGTTGTCAATAATAACGATTGTAAATATAAAAAAAAAACATTATTTCTATTTCTTGTCCTTGGTGGTGTTCTATGAATTTCCTATGTTTCCATAGTTTGCAAATCGGCTCTTTCAATGATAACCAAGAAATGCAGCACAGTGTTAATTCAGTCTTCTTTTTAGTAGGCCCTGTATCAAATTATCCAGGCTCTCTCGCTTTTTTCCATTGTAATATTTACGCCAACCCAAAAAGTAAATATTTCATTTCAACCAAGTCAGTAAATGTTTGTAGCAAACTCCTCGTTCCCACCACCACCCCTGGCTTAAGTCTGGGACTTATTTGCCAAGCCAATTCCCCATGAAAATCTTCTTTCTTTTTAGGCTTCAGCCACTTCAATCCTCGTCCAGACACATTATGTGTCCAAAAGCCTAACAGCACAACTCCCTTCCCTATTTCACCCTGAGCGATAGGGATCATTGAGATTCGCTCTAACCTTTCCTCTCCCCTTCATAAGCAAGTTTTCATTCCTTTTCTTTCTTAGTTTTTGTTTGTTTCTTTTTTTAAATAAAAAAAAACTTGTTTGATCCCTGTTTTTTCCTTAGCTACTTTTCTAACAACTCAATTGTTTCCTAGTCACTCATCATGTTTTATTTTCTCATCTCTAGACCTCTCTTATCCAAGACTTCTTCCAGTTCTCTCCCATTTGTCTCCTGAAGTGAACTATTTATAAATACGTGACTCCACAAATTCGCCTTGAAATTTTCCATGTCCTGTGACAAACTGCGTTTCATAATGGCCCATCTCCCAATCTTGCTCTATTCTCTTTCTGATGTTAGGTCTATAACCGAACGTTTACCTTTAAAACGCTAACATAATATTCAGCTATCAACGACAATAGTATTATTTGTACTGTATTTCGTTCGTGTCTACCAGTTATAGTTTGTCGGCCTCCTCCTATTATTGTTTTTACTCCTATATTGACCATCCTGGTCGACGTCTTATAGTCTCCATTATGTCGAACGTTTTTTGGTTATGTTTTGATTTTGTGCAAATAAACACTGGTTTAAAACAGTGAAACATCAATCTTTTCAACTAATCTAATAACCAGCTGTTTCAAATATTAGTGTCAATTTCAAAATATTCATCTGCTCAAATGTAAACAAACATTTTCTCCCTAAGAATAACATGGGAACTTTGAATGCCACTGGGGCAGAGCCCTGATGGAATTCCAAAGTTTTTTTGTTTGATGGCAAAACTAAATGCTAAGACCTTTCTAACGACACCTTGGACGTGGTGATCGGTAGCACCACCAATCCAAAACAATTATGACAAAAATATGCCTAGCGTATAAAATATATAGATAAACAGAACACTAGCAAAAATAATAAAAAATCACAAAACTATGTGATTAAGTATCTACTGCATTTGCTTGAGCTCGAGGAAACTGATGACTCGCTCTGCTTCTGTAGGAAAAAATCACTTTTTTATTCCGAGTATGATGTTTAGATGTATGTAACTTAGGTCTGTGAGTAAAAGGTGGGCCTATGTCTATGCGAGGTTTAGCATTATAGATCCGGCAATAGTGAATGGACACATTCTGGTACATAATAGTTTGAGCTACACCATTTTTTGGATAGACTTCATAGTTGTTCATTCTTTTCATAGCTTTGATCGACGACTTTGTGTTCCCAAACGACTCTCCAATCTTGAGATCTTGTCTTTAAAAGGGAGCGGAACTAAGTATCTTCCTTACTGATTCCCTTTTACAGCATTACAATAGATTATCTCACATTTTTCTTCTTCGGTGTTAACTGATGCATGGACTGGGATTTCTTCTAATTCGCAAAAACGTCTAAGTTGATCATCTAGAGAATGTTCAATGGTTGCAACATTGGAAACAATAGATGAAACCTGGTCATATGACTGTGTTTTGCCATTAAGATCAATTGGACCCATCAAAATATATCCGAAACTACTGTGGTAAGGAACGGGGTAACCTTTGGGAGCAGGCATCCGCCCGCCATTCATTACCTCAGGGTACAAGTCTGCACCCAACAAAAATTCAATTTTTCCTGGTGCGTCAAAAGTAGGATCTGCAAGTTCTAAATGTTTGTATTCGTCTTTGATACATTCTGGAAGGGAGGTAGAAGGCGTTTCAGATGTAATTTTCTTCAGAATCACAGCATTAGTCTGAAGGCGAAGTTCAGAATCAAAACGAGGTTTCAGAGTGCCCGATACAACTCCTTTAGTAGATAAAACAGTAGATTCTGCAGCACCAGATACTTGTTCATTGAATTTCTTTCGAGGAAGACACATGCGCTCACAACAATCTTCAGTTATAAAGGAAGTCTGAGATCCAGAATCAATCAAAGTTCTAACTGGTTGGAATTGACCTGATCTATCCTTTATATGAATTAAAGCATTTCCTAACAAAACTAAAGAAGACCTAACACTGCTGCATGCAAGGGACTTGACTAAAGTTTTTCAGCTGGTTGAATGGAATTTTCATTAGGACCTACTTTATTATTCTTCCCTCCCCTAACCTGAGCCTTGTTGGTTAGGCCAATATCATCATTATGTAGTAAACTGTTGTGTCTTGCTTCACATTTAAAACAGCTAGTTTTTTAAGTACACTCAATTAGTTTATGCGAGATCAAAAAACAATTAAAAAAGCATTTTGTGTTTTAATCCAATCCCTACGCTGAGCAGGAGTTTGTCGTCCAAAACGTTCGCATTTATAAATTGTGTGAGCTTCCTTGCAAGATAAGCATTTTACTGCATTGTCATTAGATACACAGGCTCTTTGATGAAAATAAGGCTTATTATTAGTGTATTGCATAGTCTTATACGGTTTATTTGTGGAAACTTCTGTCATAGAAGTTTGAATAGTTTCAAGAGCTTTACACTGTTCATCTAGAAAACTTACAAATTTGTCAAAAGTAAGTAGTTCAATTTCAGAATGTTTAAGTTCAAAATTAGTGTGCATCTTACGATCGATTTTGCAAACAACACTGTGAAGCAAGAGAAAGCTCCATTGCTCAACAGGTAGGCCTAGTGTTTTTAAGGCACTTGTATTTTAAGATAAGGTATCAATGAAGTTTCTTAAGCTTTTGGAGATTTTGAAGTTACTGGAGATATGTTTCGTATTTCATCCAAGTAACAACATGTAGCAAGTTTACGCTTATTTTGGAATCTAGATACAAAACTTTGCCAAGTAATGGTATAATTGACATCAGTTATGGGGAGATTCTTTGCTAACCTCAATGCATCATTTGTACATGAGCCAATAAGGTACGTGAACCGTTCAATGTTTGACAATGATTTATTTTCATGCACTAGTTGCCTAAATAAATCATAAAAGGTAGGCCATTCTTTGAAGTTGCCAGAAAATGTAGGCAAACTAATTTTAGGTAACTTTGCTTGGCTTTGTACGGGCAAATGGTTAGTTTCAGATCTAGAACTAGGTGGTTGTACTTGCTCAATTTCGGGAGGGACAATCTTTGCCATAACAGCTAAAATGTAGTAATATTTGTCACTAATACTGTCAGAAAGCTCTTCTACTTCACTATAATCTGATTCATTTAATTGACTTTTCAAAGCAATTATTTCTGATTGGAGTGTGTTAAATTCCTCAAATGACTCATGAATGGATGCACTACGAATTTTAAAGGATTCACAATCTTCAGACTCGGTGGTTATTCCTAAGCTTAAGCCTAGGTTATAAACTTTGTATATTTTCTTTAAAGCACAATTTCCTCTTCTCCTAGCTGCAGTCACCCTCCTCGGGACACGGTCTAGTACCACCAGAAATAATATTGGCGACAAGATGCATCCTTGTCTTACACCAGAAGTCATCTGAATTGATTCAGACACTTTCCCACGGTGCAGTACACTACAAGAGTACCCCTGGTACATTCTCTTCATTATATTCACATGTTTGGGTGGGATTCCAAAGTTTTCAACAACCTGCCACAGGACTTGATGGTTCACGGAGTCAATTGCTTTTTTAAAATCAATTAATGTCAAATATAACGTTGCTTGATACTCCGTACTCAGTTCAAGGATGATTAGATTATCAAGGTATTAATGAGATCTACACAACTTAAGGGCTTCCTAAAACCCGCCTGGTTTTAGCAAAGCTGATTTTCCACCGAATCCTTGATACGGTTTAGTATAATCCTTGTTAATATCTTGCTTGGCACTGACAGCAACGTGATGCCTCTCCAATTGTTCTCCAATGTCTCCTTTTTTTGGTAGTTTGAATATCAAACCTTTTTTCCATTCTTCAGGTAATTTCTCCTACTGCCAAATCTCTCTTATCAAAGGATAAAGGAGATTTGCAGCTGAATTCCCGTCCGCATTCATCATTTCTGCAGATAAATTGTCCAGTCCTGGTGCTTTTCTAGAAGTTAACTGGTTTCTAGAAAACGCACCTGGGCATCCAAAAGTAGGGGGTTTAAAAATTAAAAACAGTTGACGGACACATCGAAGATTTGTATTTGCCAAAAAACACCACTGCACTGGTTCAACTTATGGACCAGAATTTTATAAAGACATTGAAGGTACACTACAAAAACCGCTTGCTTGTTGATATTGTTAGCACACCTGACAAGGACATCACCTGGATTTTAAATCGTTCGACATCAACATTTTCGATATTTTACCAACAATATTTTACCATATTTTTGATCAAAATAGTCCATCACCTGTGTGGAAGCAGTGTTTGCTGCAAACACTTTAATAACATGGTGTGACGAGGGCGGTCTTGACTTCAAAAACATTGTAATGTTAAAATAAATTCAAGGTAAAGCCATATCAGACTCTCTATGAATAAAAAAAACAAAAGACGATCACAGACTTTTTTAAGGTGAAGGTATGCAAATATATCTTCACGCTGGAAGACATTGGCAAGTACTTACTGTATGGTAAATATTTACTGTTATGGTGTCTTATGTTAAAATATTATTTAACAATGAATTATTGTGTTTTGTTTTTGTAACAAATTTCATCTTAATTTCTGTATCCTATACCTACTATGAAAATGAGTTAGGCCTATTAAACATAGCCTATGTCACATCTTCTATGCTGATTAGGTTATACGCCACTAGTTTAAGACACAGCTGACTTAAATTTAGCAATCTGACATTTTCGGTAATCCGACACTCTCCCGGTCCCATAGGTGTCGGATTAATAAGAGTCAACTTTATAAATTCCATAGGGTCTTTTAGATGGTATTTTCAACTATTACATATTAATATTAGAAATCGTAAATTTAAAAATTATAGAAATTCATTGCCGATTAAATTTGATTTTTTCATCTATTGTTCAAACTTAAGTAGAGCATATGCGCGACCAGAAGATTTACAGTACCTCGTTTTGGTCTTGCAATTCAGCAATTTTGTTTTAGGTAGGTCTATCACATTTTAAAAAAATATTGATTTTTTACCCACCCTAGACACAACATGTACACCTTTTCTTAGTGTAAATGCTGAAAAAAAATACCCATGATTAAGTATATGTGTGAACTTAATGTATTCATGACGATGGAAGTGTTTGACAATGAGGCAACATACCTTGAAATTATAGTCACTGGGATTGAAAACAATATCAGGTAACTAACCAATTTGTGTCTAAGCTCCTATGTATCTGTTGACTTACTTGCAATGGCCTCATTGAGCCCCTGCATGCGCCCAGTCATCTCAGCCAGTTCAGCTTGTAATCTTGCTTGCTCCTCCAGTACTTTGTCTTCCATTCTCTGAATCAGCTTCCTTTCTACCTCCTGTCACCAAAAGATCTATGGTAAAATTTATCTTATTGATTTTAATTCAAATAAATTATTTTGTAACTTATTCTTTTATTTTCATAAGACAAAGAGTTGTGTGAACAAAAGTACAAAGACTGTTTCATCAGTTTAAAGGAGTTATGTGTTGAAATTTACTCCATACCACTGATACTTGGACATTGGTATCGGTATCGAGAATCAATCAACAAAAGTCAATTTTGATACCAATAACCAAAACATCTGCGAATAAGCCGTGTGATCGGAAAATTTCCGCTATAGCTAAGATTGCGCATGTAGAAACAGTGGTGTTTCAATGAACGCAGGAGATGATGATAATGTCTACACGACCAAGGGAAACTATAGCGATGTCTACACAACCAAGGGAGATGATTATGATGTCTAGATGGCTAAGGAGATGATCGGAATTTTCCCTGCAATCAGGGAAGACAATGATAGTTTCTACATGACGGCGGGAGATATTCAATATTTTACCGTGATCACAGAAGACGTTGATAAAGTTTCTGTGACTGCAGGAGACAATGATAGTGTTTCCTTTAGTTTAATGCTAAGCGTTATTCAGCATATTGCCAAAACCACGGAAGACAGTGATGATGTTTCCGTGTCTGAGGAAGATATTCAGGATTTTGCAGTAATCGTAGTCGTAGAATATGACGATGATATTTCCGCGACAGCAGGAGATGATCACGATATTACCTTGAGTTTGGCGTGATTGAAAATCTCAGACTGGAACACCTACACCCCATCACCTCAAATATACTTTATGGAAGGACACAAAGACAGGGGTTGGTTTAGTATAACCCATCCAATCCTAATGTTTGTAAGAATAAAAAGGAATCGGCATCGATAATCGATTTCTCAGGTATCGGTATTGACAGTTTAGAGTACTTTTAATGGACAGTTTTTCAGCATCAATTAATAGTATAAATTCCACTTACATTATTAAATTAAATTGATTGTGAATATTTTATGTTCTTGAAGTGTTCATTCATTTATGATCTTCCTGTTACGCAATTACCATGATGCACAATCTGCAGTAAGCTAGAGAAGTTAACATTTTTCATGCATTTATTACCAGGTAAACCTTTTAAGAAATTTATATTCCTAAATACATTTAACATAAATCAATTCATTCAAAATAACTGAATACAACACAACCACTGACATTTTGCCATTGATGTTTACATACAATTCTTTCATTGCATACTTACAAACCTAGATTTTGCTTAAATTTTGTTGTTTTGACGTAAATTAACAGGTAGCGTCCCTTCAAATTCAAGGACAATTCCAGGTTTTCCAGGATCAAAATTTTCAGGACAAACATGCCGCTTGAAATAAGCAAACTTACTTGTTTATACTTCCTACTGCTAGCATATTAAAAACCCTATGTCGAATTCCGTAATCATTTCTCGCGATCTCAGCCACATGAGTGATAATATGTTTCAATATCGGCAAAATGTGTGCTGATTTCCTGCGATTGTGTTAACATCCGTGACAATTTATCGCGATGTCTGACATCCATGATCACCTCTGGTGGTTTCCTAGCAATAACTTTGATAATTTGCCACTATCATGGCAACACCTGTGATGATTTTTCAGGATGTAATGTCCAGCGATTATCTTAACTTAACACCCTTGACTATTTTTTGTAATCACAGCTACATCTGTGAACATCTTGCAATGGCGGCAAAATTTGTGATGATTTTCCGTAATTGCATTTAAGTCTGTTTTTCGTGATAATTTACCTTTATCCCGATTTTCAAGTAGGCCTAAGCAAAACAAGAAAAATTTGTGATTTGGGCAGATTTTTTGGCATTTTAAATTCCCGGGAGGTTCTTTACAAAATTCACGTTAAATTCACAGATATTTTCCTGGTCATTAAAATTCACAAACAATTCCCAGTTTAAGTAAATTAAAAAAATGTATGCAAACATTGCAAACAAATTTCAAAACAATGTAGTGAATTTTAAATAATTATAATCTTACACTGTAAGTTATGGGGCAGTGAATTAACGACAGAAAGTTGTAAATTTGAATTAATACCTTTTCCTTAAGTGCAAGTTGCTCCTTGAGAAGGTCTAGATGTACTTGCTCCTGACGTTTAAGAGACTTGTGTACTTCATCATCACAGTCCTTCTTTAGCTCTATCATCTGTTAATACAACTGTTATTAAACTTTGAAACACACAACAACAGAACAACTACATTTATAAACCAACACAAATTTGATATTGTTCCATCTGTCATAATGGGAAGGAATTATTGGTCTGCGGTACAGAAAATTTAAGGTCAGTACGGAACAATCCTATTTTGTATCTCGGTTCTCGGTACAAAATCGGTACGGTACGCGGCTACTCGTATTTTTGCGGTTTTCTTCTCAGATCTGTATTTGAACCATTATTTTTCATTTTAATACATTGACATTACTATGAAAATGGATAGTATCCTACATTCATGGTTTTCTAACAACAATTACTGTACCACACATTTTTAAATCCTTTTACTCCTACGAGGATTGAGTCACGAAAAATCACAGTTAAGATAAAGGCCTTACCAATTTTACTCTGAGATACTTTGAATAGCCATGATAAAAATTATTTCCATCCAACACAATGTCTAGTTGTTTTTTAAACTTTTAAAAACATATCAAAACATTCAGTACAAAAACAGTGTAGTTGCCAGCTGTTCTCATTCAACAGATGACAATGAAAAACAGGATGTTATGATTAACCCTTCCCGGACGGGTGACGGATATATCCGCATAAGTCATTAGCGATTAAGGACGGGTGACGGATATATCAGCCTATGGTTTTTTATGTTCCGGACGGGAAGCGGTTATATCCGCCTTCTTTTCAGACAGACTGGCAGGTACTTAAACAGTAACCAGATGTTTCGCGGTACCAAGGCGCCACTTTCCTGCTCTATCCATGGCTGCGCTCTCTCTCGCACTCCCCCTCTCTCAGGCGCTGCCCCTCTCTCCCGCGCTGCCCCTCTCTCCCGCGCCGCCCCTTTCTCCCTCACACCAACCACCTCTCCTACACCCCCCACGACGTTTCGCGCTCAACACCACGTTGTCTGTGTGTTGGCGCCAAACGTTACAGTTGTCTGTCTAGCAGAATGAGATAGTGATGTACGATGGCTTATAACGTAAATAGTACTAGTTTTTCTGGTGATATTATTGAGTTATTGAACAAGAGTTTTTCGGAGGGTGATGTTGCTGTTGATGGAATGGAATTGGACGAAGATGACAACATATCTGTGCGTAGTTGTGATGTAAATAATGCAAATATCGACGGAAATGATATTGATATAGTAAATGGTTTTGTATCCGAAAATGACAAAGACGCTGATGTTCCTCAAGATTAATGTAATGTGGTTCAAGTGGAAAGTATTAGTGATGAACAAGTTAGTGAGGACGATATTGGGAATGCCTCAAGTTTTATTGACTCGGAAAAAGAAAGCCTTCATAGTTCAACCAATGAATATACAATGGCGTCCAAAAAGTCATTTGCAAAGAACTCTAAAAATTCATCTAAAAAGAGGTCTAGAGAGGCACAACAACCAAATCTAACTAAAGCTAAACTCCTTCGTATGAAGTGCGATAAGGAGTATGCTTTTGTGACCGACAGTGACAGTGGACCTGTAAGTACTATTCCTATTTATAACTGCAATTACGGTCGTAATCTGCCTACAGAATTTGATCTCACTTCAAAACCAATTGATTTCTTTTCACTTTACTTTCATAGTAATCTAATACAATTGATTTGTGATGAAACCAACCTATATGCTCAAAGTTTGCCTATTCAAAACCAAAGGAAACAAAAGGTTTGGGCTGATACAACAACCACAGAGATCCGAGCTCTTCTCGGGGTTGTACTGAATATGGGACTTCACCCGTTGCCTGATATAAAGGACTACTTTTCACTGTCCTGGGTAAACAAGATGCCCTTTTTTTCCGATGTTTTTACTCGAGATAGGTTTTTGATGCTGTTTTGGAGATTACACTTTAGTCATGAACAGGGAAGCGCACGTGACCTCAAAATAAGAAATATTGTGAACACAATTCAAGAGCAATGTAAACTATTCTATACTAGGGTGGGCTGAAAAAAATCGATTTTTTTTTTCAAAGTTCTAATAGTGCGGAAAAGTTGCGAATCATACAGACAGCAAAAAAGAAAAAAAAATTATCAAAATCGGTTAACATTTTCCGGTCGCGCATAAGCCCTAAAGTTTGAAAAAAAATTGAAAAATTTGATTTTTTTAAAAAAATTTCCAATTTTTAAAATTAATGTTTTTTTATTGTAATAGTTTGTAACGTCTTCTGAATGAGCCTTAAACATTGTGTTTTAGTTTGGTTTATATTAATTGATATCTTCCGGTCGCGCATAAATCTCACAGTTCACCAAAATATTGGAAAATTTCACATTTTCACGCATTTATTGAATTCGATAAATAATATTGATAATTAGTTTGTTATAAGTTATAACCAGAGTAGGCCAACTTTTTCAATGGAACTGGTCGTGAGTCACTTGTCTAGCCGGGTTGAACGACCTCTCCCCTCCATTCCACCCCCTCTACATTCCTAAGATCACGCCACGCGTCTCCCTCCCCTTCAGTCAGTCTGCTTCTGTCAGTTGTGATTGCAGTGTCCCACTGTTTAGTTAAATATCAGTTTTTTGTTTTGCAACTGTTTTGGTGGTTTGTGTATCATATTGCTGTGTGTTACTGTTGACATGACTGTGTGAATATCGATGCAATTACGTCATGGCTCTGCCGAAGAAAGTGATAACAAGACAGACATTCGACTGCCCTATTTTTGGTACTCCAAAAGATCTCCCAACAAACAAGCTACCTACGGGCGAGGAAATCATTCGGGGATGTTCTCAAGAAAGGTTTAATCTAGCATTAGGAATTAATAATAAGAGCGTGAGTTTCAAACAGGTTACCAGTACAGTAACTAACAAAGTAATTAGCTTATATGAAAAAGCATCTATCCCTACAGTTACAGAGACGAGAATTACGCAGCTCATAACTGCATTGCATGATAAGTATTGTGGCCTGAGGAAATCATATACACGGGACAAAAACAATGCTTCTTTTAAAAAACGTGTTGATGATTTTAAACTAGGGATGGACGGGTCCCGAAATTTCGGGAATTTTTCGGGAAAAAAATATTCCCGATTATCGGGACGGGATTACATTTGATTCGGGAATTTTTCGGGACGGGATTTGGTCCGATCGTCGGCGATTTTGCCGCTTCGCGAGTGCCGATGACGCCGCTATTGCGAGCGATAGGTCCACGAACGCAGGAGACGAAGACATTTCGACGATCACGCCGTGACCGCGGAGTCATACCGACGATCACGCCGTGACCGCGGAGTCATGCCGACGATCATACCGTGACCGCGGAGTCATACCGACGATCACGACGTGACCGTGTAGTCCTACCGACGATCGCGCTGTGACCGCGGAGTCATACCTGCGATCACCCCGTGACCGCGGAGTCATATCGACGATCACGACGTGACCGTGGAGTCCTACCGACGATCGCGCCGTGACCGCGAGTCATACCGGCGATCACCCCGTGACCGCGGAGCCATACCGACGATCACGACGTGACCGTGGAGTCCTACCGACGATCGCGCCGTGACCGCGGAGTCATACCTGCGATCACCCCGTGACCGCGGAGTCATATCGACGATCACGACGTGACCGTGGAGTCCTACCGACGATCGCGCCGTGACCGCGAGTCATACCGGCGATCACCCCGTGACCGTGGAGTCCTACCGACGATCGCGCCGTGACCGCGAGTCATACCGGCGATCACCCCGTGACCGCGGAGCCATACCGACGATCACGACGTGACCGTGGAGTCCTACCGACGATCGCGCCGTGACCGCGGAGTCATACCGACGATCACGACGTGACCGTGGAGTCCTACCGACGATCGCACCGTGACCGCGGAGTCATACCGACGATCACAATGTGACCGTGGAGTCTTACCAACGATCGCACCGTGACCGCGAGTCATGCCGACGATCGCGCCCGTGACCGCGGAGTCATGCCGACGATCGCACCGTGACCACGGAGTCATGCCGACGATCGCAACGTGACCACGGAGTCATGCCGACGATCGCAACGTGACCGCGAGTCATAACAAATATCGCGCTGTGACCGCGATTATTGGACCGACAATCGCACCGTGACCACGAGTCATACCGACGATCGCGCCGTGATCGCGGAGTCATGCCGTCGATCACCCCGTGACCGTGGAGTCATACCGACAATCACGACGTGACCGTGGAGTCCTACCGACGATCGCGCCGTGACCATGAGTCATAATGACGATCATGCCGTGACCGTGAGTCATAATGACGATCACCGTGACCGCGAGTCATACCGACGATTATCCCGTGACCGCGAGTCATGCCGACGATCACCCCGTGACCGCGAGTCACAAGTTTCTATAGGTACCTGTATATTGTTACCCATTTTTTGGTTTTTATAGATCAGAACCACAAACGGTAAAAATTGATTTTGTATGTCTTTTTTTGGTAACTGCAATACTCAAGACTTTCTTTTTATGCACAGAAAAAATCCCGTCCCGTCCCGTCCCGAAAATCGGGAAGGAAATAAAAATCCCGTCCCGTCCCGTCCCGAACTAAAAATTCAATCCCGTCCATCCCTATTTTAAACTAAAGTGCTCACTTCTTTTTGATGTAGCAGCCTGCAAATGCCCAATCGCTGTTGAATGCACTTGCAAAAAAGTCCCAGATCTGTGCCAGTGCAAAGTCACTATTGATTGCAGTTGTGAAAAATCAAAGAAAATACCCCCAATTGAACTAAAATTTGTATACTTAATGCGAAAGTACGGATTAGGGAAAATTGGCCCGGTGGACATTAATGAAACAAACAAGCGTTGGAAAGGAAGTCAAGAGACAGTCATTTATATGTAGAAGAAGTTGCGAAGCCTTCGTCCTCGGATTCTGTTTTAAAATTAGTCGAAACTGAAGAAATACGTTGTCCTTCAAGTTTGGACTCAGACACAGGCAGTGATAACGACCAAGATTATACAGTTCAAACAAAAAAAGCTCCAAAACCCATTTGGCAGATGAGAGTTCAGTTGAAATCCACTGCAATTATAAGCAACCG